AAATCGAGAACATTTTAAATATCAGCCTACTTTTAATTTTTTATATTAATTTATGTGTTCGGGTTAAATTTATTTTAATTTTATTTAAATTTCGAGTTAAAATTGTTAGATAATATATATTTTATAGTTGAACAATGAACATAAAAACATAATACTAGATAGGTTTGTTAAAAAGTAACATTATAGGTAGGTATTATGGATAAACGGTATTTGGTATTTCTAAAATTTTTTGTTGATTATGAATCTCGAGTCATCCTAAATTTTATTATAAGAAAACATTTGTCATACGTGTGCCTTTATTACGCAGTTAATACTAACGTAAGACACCTAACGTTTCGTAAAAAGCGTGTGAGAAAAATTTGCCAGTGAGAAATTTTTATTTAAGCTACCTACTTACTTATATTTACATGGTATGTAAATATTTAAATTCATCATATCAAGTATGTATGTTACATATGGTATAAGTAATTTATAAAAACATATATATATCAAATTGTCTTTGTTTGAATTAACTACGTACTTCGTTTAACGCATAATTATCGCAAGAAATATCTATGGCATGGAGAAAATACGTGTTTATGTAGTTCATTAGCTACTTATCATAATAATGCTATTAATATGCGCTTGATATTATCTTGATTGATATTAGATTAGGTCTCGATGTATGTTTAATTTGATATGAGACTTCTCGTTTAATAAATCATTACAGATAAAAGGCTTGTGTGTAGAAATATTTTTATTTACTGCGCATTTCTTCGAATATTTAAAAGTATAGGATTCTTAATTATCATATAATTTTAGTTATATTAATTGTAGTTATTACAACGAGTATAAAGTAAAATCAAATGACAATTGTTAGGTATTTTCAATCAAACTACGACTTGTATATTAACTACGGAGGAAACTAATTGGTCATAAAGTTTCAAAAGAACTGTTTAGTTATATTATTAAATTAAACGAGGTACAAACAACAAGAAATAACAAGTAATATCACAAGAAATAACACACAAATAAAGTGTCCACCTACCTAAACGAACAAAGCGCAGTGGAATTCCTTTTATGCGAACCGAAGCAAATTCAAAAGCAAACAAACTATACACAAACGTTCTCAAACAATAAGTTTATTCACTGAGCCCATAGTACGGATACCGATTCTTCGATCAGAGTCACTTGTTACTTTCCGTGTTGTACAGTTAGAGGAAAGTGTATGGGGTCAAAAATTAAATCGGCTTATTTCGTCCACGTGTGCTTGGAATGCACCGGCGTTACAAGTACACCGTACAACCGGTCTGGTCGCTGTCAAAGCCGCGAACCAGCTGGCACGGCCGGCGCTCTAGCGGCCGAACTCGAAACTAACTTAGGCGGTGACGCAGAATGATGTAACTTAAGTTTTGGCGATACTGATCATTATAAGGATTGTTCTTTTAAGATTAATTGAATAGTTCTAGGATTAAATTGTAATGTTACTATAATTTATTTAAAAAGGCTTACTAACTTATTAAGTTAACTTTATTCATAGTATATGATATCCCATTTATTGATTGATTCTACAACAATAAAAATACTTATTAATTACAAAACATGTTTATGCGTATAATAAGCGCTTTCGGGTAACTAATGAGTTATTATTTTATATAATATCTAGAAATTGTAACGCTCAAATCTAACTATTAGTTCTTATAATATTTTTAACCAATTCGTCATTATTATGACTATTACAATATTTAATTCTAGATTCTTTTGACATTACACGTACACCACGTTATTAAGAATAATAAAAAATTATTGTTGTTTAGACGGTTAATCAAGTATAACATAATGTAATCTGAAACTACATATTAAATATAAAAAAATGTAATTGCGATCACGTCATTAAAAATACTTAAACAATGACACGCACCAACAATTAATTTTGAGTTACATCCTTTTTCATAACCAGCGTAGTAGCCGTCATGGCGGCGCGCTGTGAGGGAGTAGGATATTGACTTGGTACGTCTTCAGTGCGCATGTATTTCTAACATGTGACTCTGTTTTTAAGCTTAAACCAAAGAAAATTGGATATACCATTTTTTATAATGTCGATCGTGCCCCATTAATGTAATGCAATCGAAGAAATGTGTGTTACATAGCCGCATTGGCGTATAAGCTTGGCTGGGACCTGGAAGTTCGGGATGACCTTGACCTTACGAAGAAATTAATCCAACGTTTTCACGCTGCTGCGTATTGGACGGAAGTCCGCACTATAAATAACAGCACCCCTTTCCGTGAACTGTATCCCATTTACGATGAGTAACAATGTTTGTTTTTGAGTAACGCGCTTTGAGAAAAAAAAAAAATTTTTCGTCAATTCACATTAAATACCTACTGCCTGTAGTTTACGCGAGTAGTAGATATTAAAAAAACACATTAACCGTTTAAAACGCGATATATATTAGTTAAACTTATTTAAAAATAATCAACTTAGGTACATTGTTAAAAATTATTATAAATATAAGTTAGTTTCTTATTCATCTTAATATGTCCTCACAAATATTAATACAAAAATAATGACTAGAGCTAAATTAAAAACCTAAAATCTATGTAGGTATACGAAGAGTACTAATTAATATAAAACAAATAAAATGCGAAAGCATAATTTTTCAGTTCCTTATAAAAGTTAAAATTCCTTTAAATTATAACTTTCAATTTCATTTTAGAGATTTTTAAAAAATATTTCTTTTTAATCTGAGAAAATAATAATAATATGTATTTATTTTTATTTGAAGCAGCGCTAGCTTTCAAATCACGTCGATAATATTATCCAATCATTAAAACAATGTCAAAGGTTACGTTTTTTATTCACTACAGCCTTTACATAGTTACAGTAACTGTCGCTAGAGGGAATAAGTCTAAATCAAGTTAGGTCGAGAAACAAGATGTTTAGGTATTATAAATCTCTTGGAGAAAAATATAGATGGCGTTTTCTTAAAACAAGATGAAAATTCCTTGAATCTCCTTTACTGTTTGTAAATAACTTAGTTATTCTGTAATATTTTAGCACAAAATATAATCCGTTTTTTTTTCAAATAAAATTTTCAATTAAGTTATGTAAAAAAGTATTTGAAATTGCAAAAAGTTTTGGCAGCTAATTCAAAACAATCTCCGATGATAATAATATAAATGAATAATAGTGAATAATTAGAATAGTAATGAATTTATTTGGTTAAAAAAAAAGAGATTAGTTACCTCTACATCCTTGAGCATAGTCTGGTATAATAATTGTTAAGGTGACCTTTTAAACTTGATTGTTTCAAACTGCGTCTAATTGTTGAGTCACAACATAAGTTTTTACTTCACAAGCGTAAGAAAAACATTTCAACATAATATATGATAATATACATTTTTTTATTTAACATTATTCGAATTAAATTTAGTAATTTTGTGTATTTATTTATTTAAAACCACTTACGTATGTGTATGAAGTATTAAGTTTTTAGGGTTTGGAATGAATTGAAACGGTCGCGAACGTCCATAAGACATCTTATTTGTCTCACAATAGACATAAGTTTTGCAATTCGTGAATCGATGTAGCAACAAGAAATCTTTCTTTTTTAACATAATGTTAATCTTTATGTTTTCCTCAACATAATATACGACTATTTACGATATTTTTATTAGTTTCAAGATGAAAGTTTTATTAATTACAAAATAATTAGCTATAGGTATTTTTCATCGTATAGTTAAGTTTAAAAAATAGCACATACCTTTGTTATTTACATTTTTAACGCTTTACAACAGTAATATATTAGTTTTATTCAGTTAAAATGTTTTATTTAATTGCCTCCTCATAAACTTAGTCGCAGATCAGCAGTAACTTAAACTTACGTAAAGCAAATCGTCGATTTAGTTTAATGTACAAAATTATGCTTTTCATAATCTAACGAGCCGTGTGACAGCTGAACAACTGCCTGCTATAAATCAGTGGATAACGGAGTATTACTTAACATGGCCCTTGATGGAAACTTATTATCTGTGTCGGCCTAGAAATGGATGAATGGGTACGAATGACTAGGTGGGTTTGTACCGAGTATTTAGAGACGTTTGTCGCACTAAGTGGGGTTAAGTTAGATGCACTTACGTCAATCTTAAACTGTTGTAAGATTCCGTTTTGCATAGGCTCGGTAGTGAATCTCATCTGTTCTCTAGTAAAAGTAAAAAAGTATTGTTGTATTAATGCATAATAAAACAGTTTGAAATTTTGACGTTTTAGATGATTTACAATAATCGTAATCATGGGTATCGTTGTCAAAAAGGTTAAACCAATGTTTATAATATAGTATACATAGCGTTTTAAACCGTTAAAATCACATTTAGTAAATAAGAGTTTGAAAGTTACTCCAGTTATAGTATGCGACGAGTTCTATACTTGACAAGAATGTTGACAGTGATTTTTTCAAGTCATTCATTTCAGATTCGTTTTATAGTTTACTTATTTGATTATTATGAATCGATTTTGTTATATATTTTTTTAATAGTTAATTATTTTCATTAGGGTATCTCCTACATATGAATAATTATTCTAATTAAACAATAATTAAAGATTTATACTTTATAATAATAAAGTACATAAGTGAAGCAATGTATATATTACACAATAAGTGAAGGAGTGATTGCTGGTTAACTGTAGATTTTCTCGAAGTATTTTCCTGTACAGGCCTTATTTGGTTTTTATTGAACCCCTAAACACCCCATCGCTTAAGGCGACGCCTTCAACGTTATACTAATAACAGAGTCGACAAGAATACCTGTACTAAACGAATTTAATATTGGTTACGTCAACATACGAATTAATAAAAAATGTGTACGTACAGAACATCTAAAAAGACAAATAAATGTAACCTATTTGGTTGTTTATATGGATCAGCAAAGCTAGATAATATAATCCGTTTCTATAAGGAACTTTGTAAGGTCTGGAATTCGCAAATCCGTGGTAAAAACTATTAGAAGTTCAGATTACTTACCGGGGATTTTCGCGCCCACACTACGCCGTTTCTCCCTCAACTTATTCTTGACTATCCTTCGCTTCAAGCGATTTAGAATAACGTCAGCTTCGTCCACGCTTTCGGAAGACGAAGTTCGAGCAATCTGCGTTAGACCACTTATCGAATGGCGTCTTTTCTTCCCCGTCATATAACCGCAGTCCTCGTAAACCCCGATCTCAGATATGCCACGTCGATACAATTTCAAACGCTTTCTCATCTCGCAATCGGCCGCTACGTCCGTCGGAATATTAATAAATTCATTATCTGTTGTGTTATCTGATTTGGAGGAGCGGCACGGTCTTTCGGAATTTAATTTGGGCGATTCGCTAGGCTTTGTAGGTTCATGTAAATTTTGCGGGGAATCATTTGTTTGTATACGGTTTAAAACGAAGCCGGTATTAGAGGCTCTACGTGCGGTTATGCTTTTAAGGTAAGTGTTTAGGAAGGATACCTTATTCAGTTGCTTATAAATAATTCCTGATTGGGAACGTTGTACGTCGCTCTGCTCTCTTTGACGATGTTTTGGCACGGCATCGCTAAATGACTGTGAACCGTGAAGACCTGGAATAAGATTTTCTCTCTCGTTAACTTTATTGTCTACGTCTTCAATCAAAATCGGTATATTTGTCTCGTCATTTTGTTGTATATATTCCTTTAAATTGTCTTTTGTGCAAATCTTATTGATATCATCGCTTGCTTCATTGTCTGAACTTTTGTAACTACTCACGTCACAGTCGGACATACACGGTGTTGTATCAAGAATTGAATTGAAACTATCTAAACTACGACTAACTGTTAATTTATCTGGAATGTTTAGAGCACTATTTTGCGTTTCAGTTGTAGTATCGTAATCCTTTTCGTAGTCAACGAATCCGGAATCTTTAAATATACGAGTGTACACTCTGTCCCCCGATATTGTATTGTGTTTGCGTATAGGATGAGTGTAGATTACGTGTTTGGAATCCCTTTCACGTAGCGATTGGCTACTTCTCAAGCTCGGCTCATCATAGTTCGAGCTCTTTATTGATATGTTTTCTTCGTTTGTTTCCACGAGTAAGGTCCCTTCGCTATCAAAGAGCTGAATAGTGGGAAACTTAATCCCGGGGGATAGATTTCTCGTCCGCAATTCCCATTTTCTGTGGGTCGGCCTCCTTAATTGAATACGTATAACATTGTCGTCGATTAGTGGCCCATCGCTATCACTCGATTCCGCTTTTTCCGACATTTCGCAATTCTCCTCTCGTTCGCGGTCATCGGCGGCGGCGAGGCACAAGGAAAAATATGAAACATGCCAATTTTATTATTACACAACGCTAATTTGTTTGTTTACAGTCAGCTGTAATAATTTTTGGCATCGCGCCAGAGACACGTTTCTGTGGCATTCACTTTTAAATAGCACCAATGTCAGTTTTGTTTTTCAACACACATGGTGGGATTTTGTTGAGAATTTCCGCATTTACCATAGCGAGCATTTATCACTTAGCACTGATCACTGTGTACTGAAGCGACCGCTGAATTCACGGTGCGAGGTTATGTCGAAAATGGTTGCATAATCTATGTGTTAAACATTGTGTTATTGCACATGGTTGCACTCTGATGAGTTTTCGCGGTTCGACTGTATCCGATCGTGGAGGGTGTTCGGGAAACAATTGATAATGAGTTACGTATCGTAGATATATTCTTTTTACGCGAAATTCGCGAGCGCGCAATTTTTTCGGCGCTCGCGACACCGAACGTTTGTGTACTGCGAGCGATCTACTAAATAGAATGCCACTATTAATAGTGAAACGCGACGACAATCTGGCTAGATCCCCTTGAACCTAGAGCGTAACAGACATAATCTCGACGCAACACTGACACACATTTTGGCGACCACAAGGCATGACCATAATGTGGTCGCTTGCTTAATGGTTTCGAGGAGTCGGTCTTAGATGTATCGCAAGTGAGGTTGCGACATTTTGACATTTTAGTGCTAAGTTATAAATTTATTACTACTAATTATATATGAAGCGAAAGCGTGACTAAACGTTTCGTATATTTCACAAAATACATGTAAAGATATAAGGGTATTGAACTAATATTTTAGCAAAAGATATTCTGGGACGGATCTTATTTTTCGCTGTGTTAAGTAAGACATTGTATATTCTTTATAACATGTTAGGTTTCCTAAATAGTAAATACAAAACCGAATCAACGAATGTATTTTTTTCTCTCATATTTTACACTTCTTTGGTTTCATCACATTTATAACGATTACTATACATTTTAACTATTGTTTTATAATCAAAATCTACTGTGTTTACTAAGTACATAAGTAAGTTTAAAATTATTTCGCATTACAAAACATGCAAACTAATCCTGAAAATTATGTTAATGATTAAATTTAACTTTCCAATATCCATCCCAATAATAAAAAAATACATAAAATTAATAAAGTGACTGATGACGTCACCAACATTGCTGGTGGACTAAAACCGATATAGGTCAACGGCGCATTCGTTTTAAATGGTATCGAGCTGCGATCATTCATCTTCCGTGTGGTTCCGGTGACCGCCATGCTTGTCGGTCCTCCTATATCATATATATTTTTATTTAGTTCACTTATTGAGTTGACATTGTGTCTGGTAAAAATTCTTCTAACTTTTTAACGCCTTAAGGAATAATAAATGCAATAATGCTCTAAGGCGGCTTAAGGCGCGTACTAATTAACATCAGTAAGGCCCATTGCACATGGCGTTTATTAAACGCGCAGGAGACTCGCGTATGCGCGCTTCAAACGAGATTTGAACTCAACATTCTAAGCTAAGCTCGCTTGAAACGAGTGTACACGCGTTTCATGCGCGCGTTTATTATCATCCAACGCGACAATCAGCGTCGACATATTTTTAAAACAAATGACAGTTTTCATTAATAAAATACACGTAATAAGGATAAAATAAATTTACCGATTAAAAAAGCTCCATAAAATCAGTAATTCGTTTTAGGGTAAACACTGTCAATAAATAAATTTCAATCTTATCTTACACAAAAATTATACGGTAATTCAATATTTAGATAATAAATAAATAAAATATAATAAATTGTATTAAATTCAATTTTTAAATAAGCTAACAAGAAAAAGATATTAAGAGTGGCAGGGAGTATTGCCAATAAATGTAAATTATGTTTGTTTTTATTGTGTTGACGGTCATAAGATACTAATTACAAATATGAAAGTGATTCTTGATTTAGTCTAACGTATTCCTTATATGCGAGTCTTCTGCTCGTTTAAAATCGCTGTGTGTTTCTGGCCTAAGTTCATTGTACTTCAGCGAATTACTTATCCGCGGTCGGAGTATTCTTTCTATTCGATATAAGTATTAGCAACTTCCTGGCAGCCAGTGCACTGAAGCCTTACCTACTTAGGTATTAATTTTCACAATTTCCCTATAGGCTTGAGAGATTAAATATGACAATTAATGATTGAAATATCTTTAAGTAAAACTAATCAGTATTTAAAGTTATATTCTGTAGGAAATATATTTGTGTAAGTTGCTTGAAAACGTTACAGTCAAAGGTTTAGATGTTACATGGATATGTGTGAAGATTTTTACGCTAGTTTTGAAGTTTCCTTTTAACTAGCCAACAAGTTATGAATTTTATCCATACATAACTTCTTATGTAAGCCACATTTGAACTCATTTTGAATTATTTGGTATGATTCTCAAGAAATGTGTTGCATGTGTATAATACCTAAAACTAAGCATTGACTGTAGTTTACGCGAGTAGTACACGTTTTAATAAAACACTTCTAACGGTTTAAAACAGGAAATATATTAGTAAACATATTTTAACTACGACCCGACGTTTCATATGCTGTGCAGCGTGGTCACAGGGGGAGTGAAGACGGAGTGTCCCAAATGTCAAAGTCAAATCTGTTACGCTAGCGCCACCTGTTTCGTCGTAGTTGGTGTATAAAGAAGCTAAATCCTTATAGAAATATCTCACGTAGTCTTCTAGTTTATTAATTGTGTGATTTGCTTTGGGTAATTAGGAAACAACAGAAGAGAAACGTGTAATGATACTTTCTTTTGCCCCAGTTACAAGATATGCTATTAAAAATATTCTCGAAATATAACAACGTTATTCCCGCATTCACACGTCGGGTGGCCAATAAAACGCCTCCCACCCGACCGAGTTCCGTGAATAAGGAGGTTGGAATTCGCAAATTTTCTTTCTCGTCTACGGCACTTCGTTTTTTTAATTCCCCACCTGTGACGAGACTCAGCAAATGAGGGGCACAATTTACGGTTCTATCCATTAAGCGCTGTTTATGGGTGAAAGGCGGTATTATAAAAATAACGATTTTTTGCCTCGAAATTGAATTATATTTGCATAAGTGCCCTTTGAGGATTGTTGATGCTTGACAGACGAAGTCGAGGGCTGTATGATACTCAAAAATAGAAACTATAGTTACCTTTACTTTGGGCACGTTGGTGTAACAGTAGCATTGTATATCTAATAGTCAACGGGTCGGGAGTTTGATCGCCACCAGGTCCATTTTTCTAATTAATTTATAATTTTTCTGAAACTTGTTGGTCTTCGTCTGGAAATTTTAAATTCCTTCCATCTTTTCGAGCCATCTTCCACAGATGCAAAAGCCGTCTATTACCATTGCGGTTTCAGCCTGTGAATTTCCGAATATCTACTTGTACCTACTTGTTGACAAGTAGTTGATAAGACTAGGGCGTGCCCGTCAGCAAATACTATGTGATTCGAAGTTGAAACTTCGGTTTATGTAATACTAAAATGCATTTAATTATTGGTTCGTTCTTTTGAACGCGATAATCTCAGGAACTACTAGGTGGAAATTGAAAACATATTTTGCGTTGATTAGAGCATTAATTGAAAAAGGCTTTAAGCTATAAAACTTCACTTTAAACAAAGCAACTGTCTTTGATTTAAAATCTGTTTTTTGAGCAACGAAACATTGGAAAAATGTGGAACAAACGGGAAAACTTATTCATCTTTAAGAGTTTTCCGCGCGAGCTGCGAAAACGGTTCAAGATACCCAAAAAATGTACTCAAGAAAGATACATTTTTTAACGATCTAAAAAAATGTCTAGAACAGTATATATATATATATATATATATATATATATATATATATATATATATATATATATTTTAAGGTTAACATGTAAAAAAGACGGGACGCGGGCGAATTCGCTGACACGGCTAGTACATAATATAAAATGTACTAGTACACCCTTGTTGTACAATTGTAATTTTTATATTCCTGTTGTTGAAAGCTCTTTAGAGAAATTTCCATATCCTTTAGAATGCATAATGTAGTATTAATATATGGGATTGTCAGATGCAGGCTAGACAAAATATTATCTTTAAAAGTATAAGTGCTTGGCTTCAGCCGGTTTGGCCGCTCTCCAAGCTTTGTCTTTAACGACTCATGCTTGTCCACCGCTGTGCCATAATTACCAACACCTGCTGAAGTTAATATCCTATATCCATGCTAATATTATTATATTAAAAAGTTTGTTTGTTTGATCCCGCTAATCTCGGAAAATACTGGTTAGAATCAAAGAATTAGGTAGGCTTTTTATTATATAATATCACTTTGCGACCAATAGGAGAGATGAAACAGTCTTTGAGGGCTAATGTTGCGTGCGCTGCGAAAACGGATCACGAAACCAAAAAAAATATGTAAAAAGTTAAAGGACCTGTTTGAGACATTATTTTAGCGATCTATCTTTGTGTCCATCCAAACTTGGTCGAAATTATTGCATTATTACGAATTATTTATACTATCAATACATATAATAATAATCTCGCAGTTAACAGAACAACCGTGTGCGTAAAAACGCATCAACTAGTATTTAATTTATTTATAAATACTGTGAATTCCTATAAACTTAATATTAAATGAAACACATTTAACGGTTTAAAAATCAACTTTTACGATTGAAAGGACGACTACTGCAAAGCATTTGAATCGTACAACTTAATTTAAAGAGAAGTTCTGTTTCCCCTCGTGGGGCATGGGGCAAACACATTTCTGTGTCCATTTGACTGATCGGTTTTATTTACAGGCAAGTAGTTGATCAGACTTCTGTGTCCTACCTGACCGGAAGAATTTATTATGAATTTATTATTTTGCGCTTAACACCGTGTTAGGCATCACGTTTATCTATTTAGCTACAGAGGCAGGTCCAACTTAATTCAAAAGAA